AATGCTATAATATAATATTTATAACTTTAATTTTATGCTATAATAAAGTTGTTTAGTAATTTATAATAATTATAATTATCTTAATAACATTTTCATAGCATTTATTTTTCATTGTATACATTTGAATTAATTATATTGTAATAAAATTTAATCCAAGTACTCATTATTAACTAAACACACATGAAATACATAACATACTAAATGTCACGACTTAAATTCATAATTGAAAATTTCATAATCTATTTACATTATAAATTAACATATTCAATAATTTTCTAAAATAAAAATGTTATTCAAATGATACAAGATAAAATATTCTCCACTATTTGGATTGTTGTTCAACGTATGAGAGCCGCTATAATGTTAAGGCTTTGTATTGTAAGTCCTTTATCATCTTTTCTTTCGTTTGTGAAGTATACTTTTACAAATTTTTCAGTTACCATAGTAGAACAAACATTTTATAAAATAAGATGTGATTACAAAATGTGTAGCGAAGAACAAAATTTGTAAGATGGGATTACTAGGTGGGTAGTTAGTAAAGTTGAGGAAGAGGTGGGTAGTTAGTAAAGCTGAGGAAGGAAAAATCCACTATTTAATAAAGCACTAAATGTAGAAAAAATAATAATAAATAAATAAAATAAAAAATAAATAAACAAAACAAAAGTTCACTATCACTCCTAACCCACTCAAATCCTAGATAGAAAAAGGAAAATTTTAACTCAATTTAGCCTTAGAATTATACCAAAAAAAAAATTAAAAGAAAAGTAAAATCTAAACCTGAGAGTTCTCAAAATTTTGATTTAAAGAACCCAAGTTAAATGATATATGTATAATCATTAAATAGAGATACTGTTGCGTTGAAATTTAATAAGTTGAAATTTAATAAGTTGAAATTCAAAAATTCAAATTCTTCAAAACTAGAAAGAGATTCTCAAGCTTCACTTCAGTCACACGTTCCAACCATATCAAAAAAAATTTACATCATTCAAACGAAGATCAAACTTAGAATCGAATCAAGTTGAGCATCTCTACACCTCTACATCTTCTTCTACCAAAACCACTTTAAAATTAAAAACAATCATAAATAGAGAAAAGTATCAGAGTAAGTGACTGAAAATCCATAGTTGAACATCAAAAATCTCAAATAGAGCAACCAATTCCGATTGAACTTACCTAAGTACATCGGAGTCCCCTGGTGCGAAATTTCAAAAACCTCCTCTCTCTACTCATCGTCGTCTCTCTCTCCTGAAAGAAGATAATTTGTAACATAGAAGTATATTGAAAAAAAATAAAAAAAGAATTTTGATGTCACAAGAAGGAAAAAAGTTGTGAAATGAAAAGGGCTGGGTGGTAGTTAAAAAAATTGTACAAAAAAAAAATATATCCCATGATGTTCAATTTTTCATAGCTTTTAATTCAAAATGTTATATTTAAATGATGATGTGATGTTGTTATAGGATGATGTGATAATGTTATGTGATGATGTTATATGATGATGTGATAATGTTTTGTGATGACGTGATGACGTTCGATGATGTTATATGATGACTTGATGACATTAGATAATGATGTGATGATGTTATATGAATGACGTACTTGGTATGCTTGATGCACTTTATGGCAATGTGATGAGTATGATGATTGCATGACGTTTATCTTAATATGTTGATGTTTCCATATTGAGCATGCTATATGATGATGAGTGCAATATTGCATCATGTCGTTAGATCGACATAGGACACAACCCTAAGAGCATGAAAATGATATTAATATAAATATCCACGAGTATGTGTTACCTAGAGTAACAAAGAGATGAGACTAGAGGGTTGTGTCAGAAGAGACGTTATGATGAATTTAGGGGGACCTCATGCATATTGTATGTTCATAAGCATAGGGCTACTTCCCGTAGAAGTGATGAGTGCGGACGCACACAGTACGATGATGAGTGCGAATGCGCACAGATGAGGGTGTTCATGAGGCTCATGACACTATGGGGTTCCGCTGACCTCCAAATATTGCTACAAATTAGCTTGACCAGATGGTCCAGGAGGTGTGCGAGCTCCTTGGGGATTCACACTCGCATGTGTGAGTAGTGTGTAGGAAAGTACTATACATCCAATTTGTCCGAGACTGGAGGCCACCCTTATGATGATTAGAGATAGATCCCTAAATAATGATTGCATGTGTTTGCATTTGCATAACCTCCTATAGTGGGGTCACTTACTGAGTATTCTTTGAAATACTCAGGCCGTGTGCCACATCATTTTTCAGGTAAAGGCAAGGCACACTTGTACGGAGGATAGCGACATCGCGAGCAGAGGCTCGTGCATATGGTAGACTCATATTTAAATTCCTGGTCTTAAGTTAGAATAGGTTGTTTTGCATTTCATTATTTTAAATTATTTTGTATTTGTTTTATTTTTTATAAATGTCAGTATTTCGTATTTAAACACGTAAGATCATGACTGTGTTTTCCAGAGAAGAAATTGTTTTAAGCATTTTTCGAACTTTTCATTATAAATGATGCTCATGTAAGATTTATATTTCTACATTATAGACGAGCATGAGACGTTAGGAACGACTTTGAGTATATGAAAATTTAGAGTCGTTACATAAGGTATTATTTTATTGTGGGTACAAAGACATGCAAGGGTGAGAGAAGGAAAAAAGAATGGAGACTTATATAATACAGGTTAGTAATGAGATATTAGTTTTTTTTGTTTACATATTACTCAATATCCAAGAAATGCAAGAAAGAGAACATAGAGAAACACTTTCATCTTTTACTTGACCTCACTCCCGTACCAAAGCAACCTATCCGCAGAACTACACTATATGCACCATAGAACAATAAATCATTAACCTTAAAACCAATGCAAACATGTGAGGGCAACACTAACTCGGTAGTTTGTGAAGGCAATGAAAGAAGCTTGTTGGACAATTTTGTTATTTGAAAATTGGACACTTTTTTTAATCTCCAATTTTCATAAAACCTAAAGAAGACACTGCCACGCTACAAAACTCTCAAATTTCCTTCATCTACACGGATAGACTTCCTATCACATTTAAAATTCAAAGCACTTCAACTTACACGTCCTTCTCTAGTATAATTACAATAGAATTAAAACAAACACAACTTATGGTGTCTCTCTTTCTTTACATTTAACAAACAAAACCTGCAATTATTATTCTTCTTTCCTCAAATCCCAACAATCTTACTTAATATCCCACAAAACTCTCTTTCCCCTCCAACTAAATTCTATCAAATCTCCATTTAAAAGTTTAAAGTCTCCAACATTATTATAATTGGGCTTTAATCATTCATATCTTATCAATCTCTCACTCTCAATCATTTCCCTTTCGCCTCTCTCCACAGCTCGAACCAACTCCCAATTGCTTAATGGCTCAGTTATGGTAATTTAGAATGTGTTCTAGATATTAAAAATATATTGTTGTGTCCTTTTATATCAATCTGTCTCGTGTCTATATCTATGCTTCTCATCCAAATAACCAATGGTTTAATAGCTCCTGATTTCCTCTTATATCTGACCGCAAACCACACATGCCCTCCTAACATTGAAGTGAAAGTTATTCTACAACAATGGTTCTCCTGTATTTAAATGACCCTTACCTCTATTTTACATAACCCAATCAAATTCAAGAATGATGCATCAAAATCAAAAGCCCCATATCTACATCCATCAACAACTCTTGAGTTATCAACCCCCTGAGTAATATGTGTCACGTTTGGTCATTTCAAGCACTAGGCTTCTAAACGGAACAACAACAAAAGAAAAAAAAAAGTTGATTAAAATACAAAATCTTTTACAAGGGGAGTTGTACCATGCATAGGAAAAAAATTAGGAAGGGCACATCTTGTTTCCATCGGTAATCCTATTTCAGAGCCTTCTTCGGCATGATTATGCAACCTAGGTCAACATATTTGTTCTTCTTCACCTCTGTCGGGCCGAGAAGCCAACTCCTCTACATTTCGTCCCGTTCATTATTTTTTCTATTTGGGCCCTTTTCCTTTTTTTTCATAGCTTTATTTTAAAAATGCTATCCTAAAATGCTTTGGAAGGATATATTTCTTGTAGTGGTGTGTACATACAAAAATACATGAGGTTGCTATGATTTCTCGTCTTTATTACGTTTTTATGACACAACCCTAGTTTTGTTCTGATATTACTATTAGCATTATATGGGCATCAGCTTTCTATCTTAACATCATAAATAATCTTTTGAAAGGTTGTGTCCTAGGCCAAGTTATCGACATAATGCAAATTGACATTCACAACATACAACATACATATCAACTGAATATGGAAAATAACGTCATAGTAAGGAAATAACAACATGCATCGTCATCATCCTACATCGTTATCATAACGCTATCGAAATACGCCATAATCATCATAACACATCATCAAACATCATCATACATCATCATATAACTTATGCATGTCATCATACATCATAGATCATACGTCATAATTATAAAGCATAAAGAACATGTGTCGGTGCCATTAGACATGTGTCGTCATACAGCAAACAAGTATCTAGGCTATCTTATAGTAAGGCTACTTACTTGGTATGTCTTAGACGTCGATATCCCTAAACTTTAATACATTAGCTCTCATTCCTTGAAAGCTACTCCAAGTGTCATCGTTGTTCGTTTCCTATTAGGTTGTTCATTGCCTTTTGTTAGTATTCACAATTGTAACAAAATTTAACTTGTAATTGTGAAATAAGACATTACCGTGACCTCTATTACCGTAATAACGATCAAAATTAGCTTCTTAAGGGTAAAAATGTGGGGGTCGGTGTCCAATTTGAAAAATTGAGCTATCTTAGCCATTTTTTAGCCGAAAGACTACACAAAGCCGAGCTATGAAGCCAATAAGTGTTTTTTTTAGGTGTGACATGTGTAACCAAGGAGAGTGACGCATTGCAATATTGTTCAGGGGTTGAGGCACAAGATCAGGTCAGGCAGATCGGGTATGCGGGTGCTGCAGGCGTGGGCTGCTGTAAGTAGATTGGGCCGAGAACTTGGTTTGGGATTCGAGTTGGTGGGATGTAGGTCTAGGTTTGTAGTGCGGCAGTAGGCAAAGATCAACGGATGGGCAGTGGATTATGAGTTGAGTTCGACCCGAATTCAGATCTGTCGGATTCGTCTTCTTCGCCCGTATCTACGCAATTTTCTAATTTCTTTCTATCCCCTTCCTACAGCTGTTTCCGAAGTTCTTCTTCGTCGTTTTCCTCCTCTAGCTCTCTGTTAGACCTCTATTCCTCTTCCATGAATTTTCGTGGTTTGTAGATGTCTAAAATGAAAGATCGATGAGATTTCTAACGATCAAACTTCATCTCTTGCTATTGACGACAATGGACGTTTGGGAGGCACGCAAACGTACCTTAGGTGATCGTTTAGTTCTTGGGAATTTTTTTCACGCTATGAGTCAATCGTTTTAGGCGTCGAGGTTCGTGGTTCAAACTTGTCAAAAAATGTCTCGATCTCTCTTTATGGTTTTTCTTTTTCATTCTATGTTGCAGGTGCTCCAGGGGTGTATGGCTAGAGGCTACGTCGTTTGGAGGGTCGTGGGGCACACTGTGAGCAGCGGGGAGTGTGTCCTTATCTAGTGGGCTAGAATTCTGCCATTGGTCAAAATTCTCACTGTCTACCGGCGGTCGATGCTCTTTTTTTTCTTTCTTTCTTTGTTTTTTTTTTTTTTTTTTTTTTTTTTTTTTTTTTTCCTTGTTTCACTCCCTTGTGGAGTTTGTATCGTTTGTGAGCATTATTCTCGTTTCATTTTATCAATGGAAGGTTTTGTCTCTTGTTAAAAAAATCAATGACTAGAAAAAGGTTTGATGAGAATGAAAAATATATGTAATGAACGTTTGAAGTTGAACTTGTCTGCAGGTTATCATTGTCGTGTGTGTCATCTTTGCTGGTGCTTTTGAGGTTGATGTTTCAAATTGGTCTCCTTTTTCTCCAAATGGTTTCCAATCAGTGTTAACTGGAGCTACTGTAGTATTCTTCGCATATGTAGGCTTCGATGCAGTTGCAAATTCAGCCGAAGAATCAAAAAGTCCGAGGGTATTAAACTAAGTTGCTTCCCTTTATGTTTGAGTACCACGATTCACTCAATTTTGTAACTTCAAATAGTAGCATAAACTTCGTAAGATTTAAAGCAACTGACTTTTCCTTTTTAATATTGTTCCGTTCAGAGGGATTTACCAATTGGCATAATCGGAAGTCTTCTTATTTGCATTGCTCTATATATTGGAGTCTGCTTAGTGATTACTGGAATGGTTCCTTATTATCTTCTTGGGGAAGATGCTCCCTTGGCTGAAGCTTTTACATCCAAAGGCTTGAAATTTGTTTCTTTCTTGATAAGCGTTGGTGCTATTGCTGGACTTACAACGACCCTTCTTGTTGGTCTTTATGTTCAGGTGATTTATTTCAGACTCAATAACTATTTGCGTTTACTTCACATTTTGTATTTATGCCAATTGATGGGGTGTGCAAAACAGTCTCGTCTATATCTTGGGCTTGGGAGAGATGGTTTGCTGCCTTCTTTTTTTTCTGAAGTGGACTCCAAACACCACACTCCTATCACTTCTCAAGTCTGGGTTGGTATTGTAGCTGGCGTGTTGGCTGGACTANTTACAATATCTATAAGGACTTTCATCCATAGGATTCTTATGTTATGTTATGCTATTTCATAAATAGAATTTTTATGTTATGTTACGCTATGTTGTATTATGTTATGCCATGTTATTCTATGTTGTACTATGTTATGCCATGTTATGTCATGTAATGTTGTGTGTTGGGCCATGATTATAAACTATGCTATTGTATGAGTATGCCATCTAGTGATATGTTGACTATTCCGTAAAAACTATGTTATGTATGAAAGATTTGAAAAATATTTTGTATGCATAAATCATAGACTCCTTATGTTATATATGGATGGAGGTTGGACTTGCATCATAAATTTATGTCATGATTATAAGTTATGGAGACCTCATGCATTTTTGTGTGTCATATGCATGGAGATATATAAAGAATACTTGATGATTAACATACATAGTTTACCCATGTTTCAAAAGTATATAGTAAATATGCTAACATAGTTTACATGGACATTCATGTCTCATACAATATTGATATCATAACATAGTTCAATAACATAGCACAATGATATCATAAAACAACTCATAACACAACATAGCTTGTATTGTAGCATAACTTATAGTATAGTATTAACACACATACACCAAACAATCATAAAACATGACACGTATAGGGGCCATAGAACCCGTGTCATTCATATATCACACAACTCATCCAACGAAGCCAAAAGTAAAGCCAATTATATGGTTGATCTAAGCTAGAATCACTAATTTATCCTTAGTGCTAGTTCTTATCGATCCTTTGCAATCCAATTAAACCTACATGGGCACATGAAATTAGGTTAAGACATAATAAATGATTTAATTCCTCTAATGATATTAATAAAACCTACGTTTTGCTAAAGAGTAATAAAAATTGACCAAACAGTAATCATGCTAACCTAAACGCCTTCGAAGATTAAAAAAAAAACTTTCGAATTAGCCAAAATCGTAGAAAGGGTCTGAAATGGTTCAATGATGTCCAAATTTGTAATTCGAGCTAGATAAGCCAAAAGGAGCTAACATTCAAGAAGGGCGCAGGTTGTAGGTGGGGTCGAGACATGGGTCATGTTCGAGTCGAATTACGGGTTAGGTCGTGAATTAGGTCACTTTAAGTTGTTGATTGAATAAGTTTTGGTCGTGGACCGAGTGAGCTTGGATAATGAATCAAGTCGTGGATTAGGTCCACAGTTCTATACCAACAACTTGATATATATATATATTTGCAGGAGAATGCAGGAGAGAGACTTGCATATACTTACCACCTTTTTTTCGTTTCACCGTCTTTTAGTTTCATGATTTTGTTCTCTTCCTTTCACCTACCAATCTCTCAAATGGGTCGTATTTCATATATGTCAACAACACACAATCCTCGATTGCATTTATCAAAACCAAACATAATGCATAATCATCCTATCAAAATCTATACGAATCAAACCAAATTATGATTATTATACTTTTATTCAAGATATTGAATAAGTATCGTCTGGCTGTTGTGTTTGTGAATGGACATGCACGACATTCTTCTTAGATTGTTAAGTGTTCTTAAGCAAGATGCAATGATGTCGTTCAAGTCTACTACTTTGAACTTATTTTGTATTTACGTGCTCGAAGAAACTTGTATCACAATTTTTTCACAAAGACTAGATAATTTAATAACTCTACGTAAAATTATCAAATAAATTCTTATATAGTTTAAATTTTGGCTTTCACGATAGTTTTAAACGATGTCGTTTTAAGCTAGTTGTTTTATAATGTAACAATTTATAATTTAACTTAAAACAATTTAATTAATGTTAAGAGAGTGATTAATGAAGGGTTTGTTTAGTTAGAAGTTGAAAAGATAATTAAGAAAGATGATGGGAAATGAAGAGCAGTCCATACACAAACACAGAGACAAATTGCTATATATTCGAAAGTCAACTTATAAAATCCAAATAACATAACCTATACATAGAGACATTATAGAATCTTCGGAATAGCTAATACTAGCTCCAAATAGCAATAACCTATACGTGTAAAACAATTAGATTTGTAATGGGTTTGTGTTGAAAATGTAATCAAATTTATACCTCGTTATGCTGAGTGAAATGACTATGGGAAATTGTAATGGCAGTGGAACCCATAATGGCATCAATTAAACCATCTGGGCAATTGTGCATTGAAACACGATAGGATTTAAACATGAGAGCTTCCAAAGATTGAGATATCATCGCCATGGCTTTAATTTGGAAGCAATATTTCTCTATCCCAAATTAAAATAATAAAATTAAAGAAATTAGATAAGAAATTTAGAAATGCGACTAACTAAAATTGTCTCCTCTAACAATCATCCCTGGTTTAGTGACTGGATCTATGTAGTATTGTATGTCGATCCCATCTTATCCTTTGTAATAAATTTGAACAGCATGGTTTTGTATTTTGAAATCTTTTTGTATTTAATTTTGGTGTTGTCATTCTTTAATTTGATTTAAAAATTCATCGAATTGCCATCTTTCATTTTTATTTCATTAATTTTCGTCTTCTGTTTTTTTCATGGTTCGAGATCCGAAGTCTTGAAACTCAAGTCGTAACATTACTCCAACTTTTCAAACTACTTTTGTGATTGGAGTAAAATTATTCAAGATATAGATGCTAGTTGTTTTTATATGAATTAATAAATTTAATTTTTTTTTTTTTTTGTAAGAAATAACGTAAGGATAGATAGAATCCATTAGAAAAGAGATAGAGATAATTAAGTTTATTTCATTGATTGATGAGAGAGCATATAGAAGTATGCCTCATCTATTTCTTTTATTTTTATTTCATTACCTTTCGTCTTTTGTTTTTTTCATGGTTCGAGATTCGAAGTCTCGAAACTCAAGTCGTAACACTACTCCAACTTTTCAAACTACTTTTGTAATTGGAGCAAAATTATTCAAATTTAGATTTTTTATTTTTTATTTTTGGTAAGAAATGATCGAAGGATAGATAGAATCCTTTCTTTCAAACTCAAGTCGTAATACTATCCCAACTTTTCAAACTACTTTTGTGATTGGAGCAAAATTATTTAAATTTAGATTTTTTTTTTTGGTAAGAAATGACCGAAGGATAGATAGAATCCATTAGAGGTAATTAAATTTATTTCATTAATTGATGAGAGAGCATATAGAAGTATGCCTCATCTATTTCATATTAGAGTAAGTAGGGAGTGGGAGTTAATTGGGTTGGACAAGCTTGTAAGATCTTAAAACCCCAACAGTCAAAATATGGAATAAAAACCACAACTTCATAGATTTGAGCTATCCATCTGCCATTGATTTTAGCTTCCACCACCACCCTCATGCGGTAGAGGATCCCACGAGGCAAGATCCGGATTCTAACAGAGACATAAGCCTTGAGCCTCAACTCGAGCCTTATCAACCTTGCAATCAATCACACTGCAAACTGTGCAATTAGCAGCAGAAGTGGGTTGGCACGATTCTCACCTGATTTGCAAACTTGAACGTCAAAATCATGTAGTTCTTCATTCTCACATGGTTTGTAATCTCCAAGGTCACAATCGTCTAGTTCTTCACCCAAAATACTCATCTTTAACTTTGATAGATGACGTAACTCTTATATATTACTGCTTTGTTATGCTTTGCTTTGGACAAACTATCTATTACCTTCACCATTATATAGACTTATGGTACCCCTCCTTCTCCCTCTTAAACTCCAACATACGGATCAACATATATTATTTTTATGAATCAAATTCTTGTACGGGAATAGTGCTTTCATAGCTATCTCAAACTATCAAGCTTAATAGATAATTTCGAATACAATTAATTTTAATTTAGGTCTCTAATATATTTATTCCTAATTCATCAATCTTAATGTTTTATATTGCCTTTAATACACTCAAACTCATCAAAACAATCTCGTGTATTAACATTTTCTTTTTCAAGTTTTCTAAATAATTATTTAAAATGTCATCCAATAATCTAATGACAAAATTATATACATATATATGTGTGTATATATTTATCGTACTTTTCTCTAAAGATTGAAAAATGAAATTAAATTGATGGACGTTGTTTATTTATAATACAACTCTTTAATAAAAAAATGTTACTTAAATTGCCATAGATTTTTATTCTATAAGTAAACGGTTGGTCATTAAAGGTATTTTCTTTAAGGTCAATAAAAGTATTTTTTTAAAGTATAAATTTTCCTTTAAAGAAGGCATAGACTTTGTTCCAAAACTTTAGCAAATTCTATTAGGTTTAAAATCCTAAACTTGAGAACACTTTAACATGCTACTAGTTTAAATTTAAATAAATTTTGTGACTTGATGTTTGAAGTGAGCTCAGTTAAAATTTGTGTTTGAAACATGTAATTTAAAATTCCATTATAATATATATCATTTTAATTTTTTTTCCAACAAAACAAAGAGTTAAGAAAATGTCATATGTTTCGTTTCTTATTTTTTAAAGATAAAAAGATGATTATTCTCTCCTGACATCTTGTCTTGAGTGAATTTTAAGTAAAACACATTTTCTACTAATTATCACGGTAAAAATTAACGGTATGCTTTATTATTGTTTATTTAAATATTTGAGAGCTAATATTTTAAGTAAAGTTGAAAATAATTTAAATGTAATTAATTTTTTTTAATTAAATCTATTTTCTTTTAGATGACAAAATTAAATTTATTATTATTAGAAGTAAACTTGAGCCATTTAGATTTTATGCTGTTGGGTAATTGTGGAAATTCCGTGTGCTATTAAGTTTGGAAAAGGAGGCCAAGTTTATTTCTTAGTATGTAATATTTTCCTTCTCTTATCTTGAATTAAGACTAATGTGACGAGTGAGCATGCATGCATGGTCTTAAAGCCTTTGAACAATGATCAAAGTGAAGTTTTTTAATTTCGAAGTACTATTTTCCGATGCTGTTTGTCGCATTTGATTATATGTTATAAGCTCCTGGGATAAAAAAATTAATTAATTATTTATTTTTCATTCATTAATTATAATTAATTTCACTAATGGCCTATAGTTGAACTCTGCAAGCAATATAGAACAAGTTGTGT